AGAGCTCATGATCCCTTCAGTTTGTCCATGCATCTAACTTGAAGTGGTGTGGGTTTAAGTGGAAGTATTTTTCAATACTTAAAATACACACTTGAAAAAGGAGTGACTGGAGGGAAAGAAGATAACTAATTAAAGACAACCGCTTGAAAATGCAAAATATCTTTAAAATTATTTATATATTCATTATTTTTAGTCTTTTTAACCAGTTCTTGAGCGTATGAATTTAAATAAATTTCTATGTAAAGTAGCTTGGCACACAGCAAATTTATTGTAAGTAATGTAGAGTTACTATTTTCCAACATAACAATAGTCATAATTAAGAATGTTAGTAAATATATCAAAATGAAATATTGCTGTCTGAAAAGATACATTATCTGTACCCAGAGGAATGGAAAAAATCTCCACATTTAATGTGAAGTTTATGAACCAACAGCTTTTTATGGTTACTGACAAGTAAAGTGAAGTTTTGGAATGTAACTAAAAGCTACTTATGTGAAATGAGATTACGATCTGTGTTTAAATACTCAGGGTTTGCCTACATAGTTTGATGAACTAAAATTAATGATTTGAAATATATTTTTGGTAAGCAGCATTGTTTGAAGTGATATGGTAATCGATAAATCAGTGGCTTTCCCAATATAAAGTAAAAATTTAAAGGAGAAATTAGAGGGCTTTTCATACACTGGAGGATTTTAAAGGCTGAGCTGTACTTAATGAATAAAGTGCCATTCTGTGAAGTTTAGTGTTAAACAGAAGATCAGCAACTTAATTTGTGGTGAACTAGCTCCCAAAATCAGTCTCCTGTCTCCATGAGTGGCTCTGAAGCAGCAGGGGCCATTGTGAGGAGCGCTGCTTGGAGACATCCCCAAGGGTTCTTGGCTCTCCCACATCCCTCCAAACGTGGATCATCTCAAGAGCAGACTGCATCTGCCTGCAGTGAAGATTTGTCTATGTTGGCTGCCTGGGTCTCAGTGAACAGTTTGAAAGATATTTAGCTCAAATTTTGTGTTGCAGCTTTTCACAGCTAAGCTATTTTCTTTATGTGGGATAAAAGGCACCAAATGCTCTGTAATTTTCCACCCTGCCTTTTAAAGGTGTTCTGATCCTGGCCATGTTTGCAAGAGAACATTTCTTCTGTCTACAAAAGCATCTTTTAGTATCTCTTGAATCTTGTATTAAGCTGAACTCTTGTGAAGTGGAAGTTGCCTGTGTTTCACTTTGATTTTTCTCACTTTTTTATGTCAGTCTTGTCAAATATCTGAGGAAAGCAGAGTCTCACCTCTCCCACCACAGCACAGTGTGTTCCTAGAAGCGTGCAGGCAGTCAGGTGGGGTTTTTCTGACTCCTACATAGGTAATAGAACCCTCGCTTTCCCCTAAACCTAGGCTGGGGCTCAGGAGATGGGAGTGCGATAGTTTAGTATCTCCTGCCTAAGAGCTAATTACCTTAGTAAAGAGTACAAGCTTTTAATGCAATGCTATTTTATTTTTGTATTAAGAACACATTTAAAATCAGATTTTTAAAATAATTTAATTTGTGACCTAACAGAAATAATGTTTGTATCATGCTCTGTAAGTGGGTTCACACTGAAGTTGATTGTAACTCTGTTCTTATTTACTTAGAGCAAATGGGAAAACTATTGATGAAACCACCAAGGTGGTAATTATTTTATATAAGCTTGAATTATGTAGAAAACCTGTATGTTTTCAGGCATTATTAATAGATTGCCATTCCCATTATGAATATACATTTTTTACTAGTTTGCAAGACAAAGGAAGCATAATTAGGGTGGAAGAAATATTTCTTAGGTACCCAGTATAAAATACAGAGCCTGTTTACACAACAGAATAAGTTTTGTGATGATCTGAACTATGGTTTGGGCAACTCTGTAAAATCAGGTATGTGAACTAGAAAAAAAAGCTTGTTACATCAAGGGGAGGAAACGGTGAATTTTGGAACATTTAAGTTATTTTCATAAAGTAGATTGAATATGAATTTTATTTTGATCTCCTACACCCTTCCCCCCTTAATCTAATCCATATTCTGGTGGCTTGTATTTTCAAGAATTAATCAGAAATATGTTCTCACCTTCAGTTTGTTTCTAAATGACACAAGAAAAACAAAGAAACCCCCCCAATAAGCCCACCAAAAGGATGAGAAAAGGTCTGACTGGAATTCTTTCAATGCCTCCTGTGTTCTGTGTAAACTGGGAGCATGGTATTGGCTCCTCAAGATTAATTTAAATGAACAAGACTTTTTTCTGGAAAAGGGAACATGCATTCTGCCAATAAATACTTTTGGATACTAAACTACTTTGTCTAATATTTCCAAACCAGTGTTATATTTGATTAAAATAAAGGAAGACATACTGTCTGCTTAAATGCTTTTTTTTTTAGGGATTTTTGAACAAATAATTCCTGAACTCCACTGGTAATTTCGATTAAAGAAGTGGCATAGCCTAACTGTGCAATGGATGTGGCAGAGTGACACTTCATTCCAAGATTTCCTGAGAGTGCACAAAGCCTACTGTTTATTTTGCTGTGTCATAAGACTGCGACAAAAATATATATAGAAAGACTGGCATTTCATCAGGCAAACAGGGCAAACACTGTTTTGGTGTATTAGTTTGTCATAATCATTTTCATGGACAGTGTGATTTCTTTTGCATTGCTTACCTTTGAAATCCTTAGATACACTGTGTTTACGTAAGGAAACTACTGTTGAGGTTTTTCTTTATTTCATTTAGGAATGGTGCACCATTCCCTACTGAAATAATATGTTCTTGCAATGCTAGCTAGATCATTACTAGTTTTATTCATTCGCAAATTTTTAATTTTAGCACTTTTCTAGGATGTGAAAAAACTAATGGAGCAATAAGAAAATAAATTTTAGTTGTGAAATACTGTAGTATTGGGAATTAGTGTTCATCACAAAATCCTAAAGAGTAAATAATATATTATTTTTTAAAAATGCTTTTAGGCAATTTTAGCATGTATCTCAAACCTAGAATGTAATGAACATTTTATGTCTGGCCTATATTTTTCCTGTTAATTTCCAGCATTAGGGAGTATTTCACTATAACAGAAGGATTTAGGTGGATTTAAAGTTTTCCATTTAAACCAAAAGTCTTATCCTTAAGTTTATAAACTAATCTTTTAAACCGATTTGATTACTTAAAGTAGTTAAATAGAAAGACAATACTATGTCTTAAACATTCTAATGCAAAGAATTTCCTTAGGTACCAATCACAGTTTATATAATGGAGACATATCCAGCTGTCTGAAATAGAAATAAACTCTTGCTGCAAATTATTTTAGAACTGTTCTGGCACAGCATATCTATGCAACAGGTGGAAGTGCCTCCTTAATTTTTTTTTTTTTTTCAGTAAGGATAAATAATGCTTTCAAATTCCCATTATTAAAGATGTTTAGCTGCCTTAATTCTATATGGCTAAATAAAATCAGGAGTATTGATTTAATGATTTACCACTGTACTCTTGTGTACGTTTAAGTGAGGCATGCAGTGCTGGAACTTTGGAAGAGAAAGGAGGAGTGCTGAAGTTTAGGGAAAATTGATTTGTTATTGTAGAACCACTAAATGCAAGATGGGTCTGTTTGAGTATTTTGTTAATTCTTTGATGCATATGCCTTAATTATTGTAGAAGGAATGCTTTTCCCTGCAGGTCTTCATCCTTCCTCTGTTTGCTCTCACTGCTGCTCGTGGTTTTTGGTTGTTTTTGTGGGTTTTTTTTGTTTGTGGTTTTTTTTTTTGTGTGTGTGGTTTTTTTTGGGTTTTTTTTTTTGTGGTTTTTTTTCCCCCCCCTGTGTGTGGGCCAGAGAGTTTGGACCTCTTAAAGGTTGAATTTGTTCTCTACCAGTCTCTGGATGGTGTAGGATTTCTGAAGGGCAGACATCAGTATTGATGTATGGGTGTATACAAGAGCAGGTACATTGATCAGAAGTGGTTTTGCTTTCCTAATTGACAATACCAACTTAATATGCTGTGTTTTTCTGTCTCTTGAAGGATAAGGTGAATTGTCTTAATAGAACTAGAATGGTGGTCATTGATGAAGAGAGTGAAATGTTCCGAAACCACCATTGGAAGCACTGCACACCCATTTGTTTAGTATCCCACTGAATCATCAGCATAAGTTCTCTATGACCTCACCCGTCTGCTCAGAATTGCAGTCTTTTTGGAAAAGAGAGGAAAATATGGAAAGCTTTCCATTCTTCAGATTTTGCTGAATTGTATTACTTCAGTGTTACTGAGTTACATTAAAGAAGCCACACATGGTTTAAATAAGCAGTCAAAGGAGTGTACTTTTCTTTTTTGACTATTCAGTTAAAACCTATTTTTTCTTTTGTACTTCTTATAGGAAATTGAAATGTCTTGTCAGCTGTGCTGGCTGCTACACCAGTTAAAAATGTGCAGTACAACCCTGTTTTCAATAACTTAGGTCTTTGGACACTTCAGCTGTTCTGTGTTTATTTATATGGTCACTTTAGTATTTTGCCTTTTGAAAAAAGAGCTGTTGTGTTTATAAAAATGATTGTACTATACTGCTTCTATTTGCCAGAATGATTATAACATTCTAGAGTCATTTAGGTTAGAAAAGACCCTTAGGATCATTGAACATAAAAACTGTGTGTTATTCAGGGAAGTAAACAAATACTAGTACATGCCTTTGCCTTACTCTTCATATTGAAGGAATTTTGGTACAATTACTTCCCTCCTCACCATTCTTCAGCTTTTTTGAAATATATGTGTTCCTGAGTTTGTGGAAAGCATTCCTCAAGGGCAGCAGGGGTAGGACGTTGAGATGGCAGGGTGTGAATCTCTAGAAAAGACTAGAGGAAAGGCCGCTTTCCGTACAGAAAGACTGTACTCAAATCTAGACAGCGAAAGTTGCTTTTGAATTGCACATCCTGAAAGTATTGATCTTTAAGGCTGAGGCTGTGTATGCTTTGAATTTTAATGTTCCTCTCCATTTTCTTTTCTAGCTGGAACACTCACAGCTTTCCCTAGAGGATTATAAGTTTTGATATTCAGAAGACTGAAGGATGCCATCTGAGAGGTGCCTGAGGTATAGTACTTGGTAGTGTGTAGGAAGTTATTAACATTTGGGATGATGTTTACCAAAGATTCAGTTAAGAAAGTAGAAAAAAGTAAAACTAATAGTTTTGTTCATTAGATAGGAATTCACATTATTAAATACATATCCATGTTATAATCTGCAATATATTACCTTGTTGTTGCTTCTTATCTCAGGCAAGGAAAACTGTGCCTGGGATTGATTGGAGGCCTACAGTCTCTTCATACCTTATCTTATTTATGCCTTAGTGTATACTTGGAATTTTTGATTGTGGAAGCAACTGCCATTTTTTTGCATCTGGAATGGTGGCTGGTGATAGTTTTGGGTCTCTGTAGTGTTCCACTGTCTGGGACACATTACTTTTCCAGTTATGTGAAATGTCTTGCAAGATTCTCTCAAATTAATCTTTCTGCCTTCCCTTTTGTCTCCTTCCCCATGTAGCCTTTCTCATTTGTTTGTACCACCCATTCTTGCAATAGAGAATTTGTCATTTATAATTTAATTACTTTCTGGGAGCAGAACATAGTTCTTTCAGACAGAACACTCTGCAGAATTTATTAACTGAATTGGTTTTCTGCAGAACTTTGCAGTAGTGTGATATGCTGGTGCTTCTGTTTCACAAAGCAGTTAACACTCTGATCTGAAAACTCCCTGATATGACTGGGACACCTCATCATTCCAGTTCTGATTCCCCTTCTCTGCCATGCTTCTGCAGCAGAAGAGGATCAGAACTTGCTTGCTTTTATAGCTATTGAATTTATCAACTGACAATATCACTACAAATAATCAGTCATGTTATGTTTAATTATTCTATATATTTTCATTCATAAATTCCAGTTAAATTGCCTTTCATGTGTATGCATTCTCCATATGTTATTAGCACAAGGGTTACAGGCAACTGATTTTTCACTTTGGTCACTGAATTGGAAAATGGATTATGATAGAACTCAATTTAAAATCCCAGATATGTTCTCTATTGAATGAAATAGTCCTCTGGATGATGGTGAAAAAAGCAAGAGGAGTGAAGGTCTTGATTTACAACACTGGGAGAGAGGCTAATAAAAACAGAAGTAAAGAGAAACCATCTCAGGGTATCATTAATGTATTATACTTGCCTTAGTTTTAGTCACTTTGCTATAGAAATTACAGAAGAGAAATAACCGTTAAAAATTGTGTTTAGCAAGTTAGATTTCTTGATAATGTAATTTAGAATATGAGTTCAGTTCCACAAACAGAACAGCTGAAGAAAAAAAGAGTAATTTGAATGAGTCCTTCTGAAATGTATTTAGGGCATGTCCATATGTGAAACCTGAACTGTCAGAGAGGCAGTTAAATTCAGATACATTCTGTTCCTGTGTTATTTCTCTTTGGCCAGCCTTCTTCTAGAAGTAATGTTTTAGTTGTTGTCTTTTTAAAAGAGCAGGTTAGATTAGAGCAAACAGTCTGCAGGGCAGGTATGCAGTAGTTTACAGGTGCCCAAGGTGCAGGAGTAGGATGGGCAGAGAAAGGAGAATATCACAGCCACACAGCTGCTGCATAGTACTTGTATGCAGTGAATTACATGATTGTGCTGGAAAGATGATGGGTTTTTCACCCCCTTTAAAAAATATCTTCACTTTGATTTATGCTGAGATGACTCTCTGTAAACTCACCTTCTATAAACACATATGTGGATTCTCTGGCAGTTTAATTGGTAGTCTCACAGAGCTCGAATCAATTGCATTGTTTTGTACCAAAGAGGATTTGCTGATATGTTTTGATTTGTTTCCATTTGCATCAACAGTTATCTTCTCTTCCTTCTGCTACAGAGAAAGGAAGCTGCAACCAGGCAGTCCTAGACTGGATTATTTGCAAATCTTCTATTCATACATGGAAATATTCAGAGGTGGAGAAGGCGTTGGCATTTTAAAATTGAGCAAACGTCCTCTCCCTTCCCCCAACACAAAACAGACAATCAAAAAAAAAACAAAAAACATTACAACACTTCATAAATATGAATAGCCTGAAGTGGTCTGAAAACATTCAGTAACTCAGCATCAGACTTAAACAGGCCACCTGAGACCATGAGGTGTCATACTTTATAGTAGAACTTCTTGCATACATACATATACCCTCCTTTTCACCCATGCTTCAGTTTGAACCACTTAAAGTTTTCTGGTGGTCCATTGACCTAAGCCCTCTATTGTTCTCATTTAATCCTAAAATTAATCCTGTGAGTTTGGCTGACTTCTGGTACAGGAAATGAGAAATCAGAACCATTGAGGTTTTTAAATTTGAGTATATAATCAGTTTTCATAATGCTTTGTTATATTGAGCTTTTCTTCTGATGTCTATGCTGTGTAAAGATTTTTGCCTGACAGGGTTCCTGACTTCTTTGCTTTCCAAGAATTATCAAACTGTTTTGTCTTAGAAAAAGTTGTTCTGTATTCCTGTCAGCATGTGTTTGTTTTGTGCTTTATTTTTTGTTTGTTTTTGACAGAATTTTTCCTCTTTCCCCTCTCAGTGTTCAGGAAATGCTGACAGGTCAGAGGCTTTGTCAGTCCAGCTCCCACAACGATGCTGTCCTGGCAGCCCTGAACCAACAAAGAAGTGATGGCATTCTTTGTGATATTACCCTAATTGCTGAAGAGCAGAAATTCCATGCACATAAAGCAGTCCTGGCAGCCTGCAGTGACTACTTCCGAGTAAGTCCCAAGATTTTTTTATTTCTATAATAGTATTAAAACTTATCATTGTGGAGGATAGAGATGATTATAGATATTATATTGAATAAGATTTAAATCTGAACCTTTGGAATATGCAGAATTATTGCACACTCTGTAGAGTATACAACTTCAAATATCCATAGGAAAGAAATGTTAAGAATATAAATCTGATTTTTTAAATAATTATTTATGGTAAGTCTTCTCCTCCCTCTACCCCCAACAGAGATGGGCAGTACCCATCTTTCTATGAATTTAATGCCCCAGTTAAAGTGAGAAAGTGGAAGATATTTTAGTATTTAGAAATTTTTGTAGAACATATGAGAGTTGTGATTAGAGGATGGTGAAGAAGAGGCTGAGGGAAGACCTCACTGTGGTCTTCAACATCCTCACGAGGGGAAGCAAAGGGGCAGGCACTGACGCCCTCTCTGATGACCAGTGATGGGACTCGAGGAAACTGCATGAATCTGAGTCAGGACATTTACGTTGGATATGAGGAAAAGCTTTTCACCCAGAGAGAGTTTGAGCACTGGAATAGGCTCCTCAGGGAAATGGTCACAACACCACACCTGACAGAGTTCAAGAAGCATTTGGACAATAGCCTTGGGCATGTGGTGTGACTCTTGGGGTGTGAAGGTCCAGGGATTGGACTTGATGGTCCTGATGGCCCCCTTCCAAGTCAGCGTGTCTATGATTCTATGGTTAGAGTATGGAAGTATGGGGAGAGGGAGTTTAAATTTAATCTTTACTGTGAGGCTGATGAGGCACTGGAACAGATTGCCCTGAGAACTTGTGGCTGCACCATCCCTGGAAGTTTTCAAGGCAGGGTGGATGGTCTGAGCAACCTGGTCTAGTGGGAGGTGTCCATGGCAGCGGGTTTGAAACTAGGTGATCTTTACCCTTTCAACCCAAGCCAGTCTATGATACCATGATAAATGTAACTTATTTCAGCTTGAGATTAGATTTTTGTCAGATGTAAATGGTTGCTCTCAAAGAGGGAGCCATAGTAATTTCTTAAATGTGATAAAACTTATTTTCAGAAACAACTGTTTCCAAGATATAAAAGAAAATATTCCCTGGGAAATCTGATTCAGACAATTCCAGTCTAATTCCAATCTAGAATTGGAGTAACTGAAAAGTTGTGTTTGCTCATAGGAAAAGTAACCTTTATATGAAGCAATTCTACTAACCTTAATTACAATGTGCCCACTCAAAATGTTGGACCATCTACAGCTGTGTAGTTAACTGGTATTTTTCAGTGTGAGTCATCCTGTTGTTAATCAGATACTAAAATTAAAATTAATTTAAAGGTCTATTTTCTCTAACAAAGTAAATTTATTAAATATTTTGTCTACACAGTAATTGTAGCGTGATGAACTTCTTTATGGGGATCTTTTTGTCTTGTTACAATAGTAATACAGTGTATGACAACTTCTCTATATCGCTGATTACCTGAGCAGGGTTTTTATCTTCCTGTCAGCTCTCTCTTGACTTTTGGTTAGAATTTAGACTTAATTTATTCTGTGTATTTAAGAAATGTTATTAACCTTGATGTGACTTTCGCTGTGATGGTGTTGAGCCAATTGATTGCTCATTTTTTGAGCTTATCTACATGCTTATGGGTTCTGCTACAGCATAGTTTGTACTGCCACGGTTGCTGATGTTGCTTCATCATGATGCCCAGGCCCTGCTGTAGCAGAGTTTGCTTTGCATTTTTATTTCCTTTCACCTCAGTGCATAGAGAGGGATTCTGGACCTTTCTACTTGTAGCAACTGCCAATGATAGATACAGTGCCTGTTGTTCTGGTTCGGTTGAAATATTTTCATAAGGCTGCCATATCATCTGCACCCATGACACTCTTTCCAGAGCTCATTGTGCCCTGTGCCTAGAAACGTCATGGAGTGGGCACCTATGCCCAGTGCTCCAACAGTGAGGTAGGAACAGCTTCTACTTTGGTCACTTTTTGATTGGTGTTGAGATTTGGGGCACTGTGATTTATCCTGTTATTTCCAGTTGAGTTACTTGGTATTGACTGGACAGTAATTGCAAATTAAAATCTTAATGCCCTTTATTGCTACATAAATATTTTTTATTTAAAAAATGTTGAGAGAATGCTTTATGCAACATTGAGTAATTTGATCTGTCTCTAAACTCTTGTGGTTTGGTAGCATGTATTCTTCAGAATTTAGATATTAGCTATAAATATGGAACCTGTGCTTTCTGAAATCAGGCAAGGAGGTTTTTTATTAATAGACAAAAATCTTTTTTTAGAATATTGTGAAGTAAGATCTATATTCTGGAAGAGGATGGCAAGAAAGTTACACTATGTTCCTAATTCTAATAATTTAGAAAAAGCAAGAGTCAATTAAAAAGTAATAATGTTTTGAGAGAGATTATTGATCTTTTATATCTAGGGAGATTTTACCTAATTTGAGCTACTTGGGTATTCTTTTTCTAAGACTTACAAGAATGAATCAAGATTAGTTTTAGAGTTGGTAAAAAGAAAGAGGTGTTTCCAGGGGATGATAAAGGAGAACAGCAGATTTATTCAGAATGACATGAGTAATGATCTGGAAGTGCTGGATCTGTCTCAAGTGGCCGTAAAGGCCAGAGTCATGTGCTTCAAACTTTGCTGTTATTATTATATAATTTTTATCCTTACTTTTGTTTTCTGGAGGAATTCTTAGACAAAACTTTCAGATTTTCTAACCTTAAAGTAATTTATGAGGAACTCATTGCCATGTGAAACTTACCAGGATGGACCTGCTGCCGGCCAAGGCTGAACCAAGCAGGGGATGATAGTAACACCTCTGTAATCTGTTAAGAAGGAGGGAAAAAGTTACTGTACAGATGTAGTTGTGGCCAGAGGAGAGCAGGGTGAGAATATGGGAGAGGAAGAACTGTACAGACACTAAGGTCGGTGCAGAAGGAGGGGAAGGAGGTGCTCCAGGAGCTGACATTCCCCTGTAGCCCATGGTGAAGACCACGGTGAGGCAGCTGTGCCCCTGCAGCCCATGGAGGTCCACGAGGATGCAGAGATCCACTTGCAGCCCCTGGGAGATACCCTAGCCGGAGCAGATTGCCTGAAAGAGGTCTGTGGAACCCTGGGAAACCTATGCTGGAACTGGATCCTGACAGGGACCTGCAGACCTGTGGAGAGAGAGGCCCATGCTGGAGAAGGTTTCCTGGTAGGACTTGTGACCCTGTGGGAAATCCAGGCTGGAGCAGCCTGTCCTTGAAGGACTGCACCCCGTGGAAGAGTGACCCACATGGCAGCAGTCTGAGGGGAGCTGTTGCCTGTGGAATGGACCCAGGCTGGAGAAGTTCATGGAGAACTGTCTCCCCTTGGAGGGACCCTACGGTGCAGCAGGGGAAGGACTCCTCTCCCTGAGCAGTGGGAGAAACTGCCCAGGGTGATGAACTGACCATAACCCCCATTCCGTGTCTCCATGCACTGCTGGGGGAGGAGGGAGAGCTGAGAAGGAAGAAGAGGTGTAGGGAAGTTGTTTTTAAGGTTTATTTTACTTCTCACTATCCTGCTATGGTTTTGTTGGTAATGAACTCTATTAACATGCCCAGTTCAGGTCCATTTTGCCTATGACGGTATTTGCTGAGTGGTCTCTCCTGTTCCTTAACTCATGAACTCTTCATTTTATTTTCTCTCCCGTGTCCATTTGTGGAGGGGGCTGAGAAAGCAGTTTTGGTGGGTGCCTGGCATCAAGCCAGATCAGTCCACTACAGTCTTTTTTCCAAGTCTCCAAAAATATGTTCAATTCTATGCAGGGCTCTATCAGAGTAAATAGATTGTTTTTCCTTTTTTGCCACTATTGTAAAACAGCTTCTACAAGAAACTGGATGTTTGCTTTCTATGGAGGGTTTGTATAGTTTTCTGCAGTTTTGTTCTGTGTCTACTTTGATTAAATTGCAGTGTTTTCTTGAGCAGTATATTTTCTTAGAAATTGATACTTATGTCTTTCTTTTACTGGAAAGAAAAGTTTGTTAATGCTTTAGAAGGATAACTAAATTTGTGTCATTTTACAGACTGGGGCAATTGGAGCCACTTGTGTGAGGAAGAGTGGACAGAGAAGGCCAGAAGTTTCCTTACCAAATTTTCTTTGGGATTATAGTTTGGAGTGAAATCTTTTGCTTTCCTAAGACAAGCCAGAGACCTGAGCTTCAGTAAAGGCCAGCCTTCTAGGGCACCAGCAGGCCTTCCTTTCTTCCTGTTGGTGTACGTGGTCTCACAGTTCCAGCTGTACAGAAACATTGAAGTTTAAATCCTAAGAGTAACTCCTGGTTTGGAAGTTTGTTACATTTGAACACCAAAATTTTGTGAGTTTTCTCCTTATGAAAAAAAAATCCCTTAGGGAATTGGATACAACAACTCTGTACACAGAGTTAAACTGCAAGATTAGACACTTGAAAATTAGGAGTTTTAATTTATTTTCTGCTCCTGAAGTACCTCTTCTTTCAAGATGTCCTAAGGAATATAGTAGTTATCTCCATACATGAAAATACTACTATAAAGAATGGTAAACATCTATTCTTATGTGTTCTTTTTGAAGTAAGAAACATAATTTTAGGCAAACTTTTCCATATTGACATGCTGTGATTTGCCATTTGTCTCAATCTATTGCACTGAGACAAGGCAGTTGAGTTAATATGTGTAACTGTGATAGCTCTAGCAAGCTAAGTCATTTCCAATTAAAAGATTCCTCTGCTTTTTTCCCCTCTGGGAGCAAAATGAAATGTTACTGCATGACTTCATTAGTAGGCATTTACAGTGTTGGCAGGTGGTTATGTAACCTCAAGATTTTCTTCTACAAAATGCATTGGTTTTCCAGTCAGAAAAACTCTTCTTCTTCCCTGCTTTTCATTTGAGTGGGTTTTTAGTTGCAGGACTTTGATCTTTCTCAAAAAGATGCAGATTTTCCATCTAATTTATATGAACAATTACATCAATTATCTGGAATAGTTTTTA